CTGGGAGCTGGGGTGGCTCCAGCAGTTGGCTGGGGCCCAGCATCGCTCAGCCCCAGCTCTGCTGAGCCACACTGCACCTGTGCCATGGGGCAGCTGCCATGTGGGTGCCAAGTTAGGGGGGAGTGGGGGCAATCTCTGCTGCCCACTACCCCCCATGCTGTACGGGGGGGCTCTGCCCCAAGCCCTCAGAGGCCCTGATCCCTACTCCTGCAGCCGGTGAGTACAGGGCTTTTTTAAAGTGCTGAGAGGTTGGGGCTGGGTGAGGGATGGAGCTGGGCAGGGCAGGCATGGGGGCTTCTCCTGCGGCTCCCCCACCCAGGGAGAGGCAGGCACAGCCAGAGGAGCCGTAGGAAAACCTGCAGCCACTCAGCTGTACCTGCCTCTCCCTGGCCGATCTGAATCTCTGAATCAGCGTCGAATCTCTGATTCAGATTTGGCCAAATTGAATGGGGACAGTGATTTGAATCACCAATTCAAATCATTGTCCTCCGAATTGGCCGAATCCAAATCGAATACTTTCCTGTTCGCACAGGCCTACAATTCAGCCTGCTCATCCTTCATAACTGGGCCCTGAGTACATGAGGAAGAAAGACTCTGATTTGACTTGCGAGGTATGTTAGCATAATGCAGAGACACCCCAGCTAAGAAGCAGGAGGCAGCGCTGCCCTAACATAGCTATGCCACTTCCCAGTACCCAACCTAACTCATTTAAGGTAGACATGGCTATCTCTGCTTGGCATTGCATTTTGCAGGGCTGACGGTTTTCTTTGCAAGCCAAGTGCATTTGTTCTGGCATCAGTTGATACAGAACCTTGAAGCACCATACCACACCTTTCATCACAGTCGCTTTCTAGCCCAGAACAACATTCTAAACCATCCTTCTAGCAGTTATGAGCCCACCTGTACTCTGTGATGTGCGCTTGGGAATCTAGGGAGTAACATTGCTGAGAAACTCAGGGATACAGATCAGTTTAGGTTCCACATTAAATTGGTGGCCCCCTTCTATTCCAGCTGGGGTGCTGAGTGTTGGAAACAGAAAATGTGGCCCTGAGTTAGCAACAAAAAATACTCATAAAGTAGAACTGCCCAATTTCTATTTTAATAAGAAAAACGGTATTGCTAGCCACACGGAGGGAGGGTTGGAGTCATGCTGGGTATAAAATAGTTGGCTGAATTACTGGAGATGAGTGTGGCTTATTCTTGAGCAGGAACCTTTTCTGTTGTAGTATTTCATTATTGTTATTGCTACTAGTCTCTCACCTGGTGCTTTTCATCTCCAGATTTCCAAGCTGTTTTCGAAGCGGGTTGGCATTATTATCCACTTATAGCCGCCAGTGGCCAACACTCGGTGTACTAGACATGATCATGTGCACCCTCACTCCCACTTCCACCCTCACCTCCAGCCACTGACCATTTTCCTTCAGCTATAGGCAGGTGCCTTTCCAGCGACAATACCAACAGTTCCATTTACACTGTCATCCCTTCTCTGCATCTATGTCAGTGCCTCGGTGCCTATTCAAATGTGGGTCTCTCTTCTTCCTTTGCAGGTGGCCTGGGGGAGCAGACTTTCATGCCAAGCCAGAACACCACTTCAACCAATCGTAGTAGCAAAACAGTTAAAAAGGGTAATGTGGTACCCCACCCAGACCTTTGGGTATCTTTTATTTACTTTTTTATCCACTGTGAAATAATGTTTTGTCATGTGTACTTGTGTGTGCTTTTGCATCTGTGATCAACTGATGTCATTCCTGGTGCATGGGCTTGTTGGTGAAGTGTCACCAGGGGACAGGGATGGTCCCGTGTATTTAAATGGGATGACTCTGTAGAGCAGTGTCAGAACCCCTTAGAGCAGAGGATGTTCCAGGTGGTTTTGTAGTGCTTCTGAAGCTCCAGTTAAGCCCATTATGGTCAGGCACCATGTTGGGAGGCAAAGTATAGGATCTCTGCCCCTTTCAAGGGCTAAGTCAGTGGCTGCTTCCCTTCACTTGTCTGCATCAGAATTAAACTACTGAAGAACTCAGAAAAAGGGACCCTGCCCTGCTACTGTCATCCCTGATCTTTGAGTTAATATGAGACTTCATACTCTAGGGTTATTAAAATATCTGTTACTTGCTTTGCTTTTTACAGAGGATTTGCAACCTTCCTATGTGGCAGTGAATTATAGGGATAACTATTCCCAATTTACCAATGGAGAAACTGGGGGAGAGAACCCAAGGCTGCATAGTGAGTGAATGGTGAAGCTGGCACTAGACTCCAGGAGCAGCTTCTAGCCCTGTGCTCAGTCCTATGGACCCAGCCACGTCAGAACATCTCCTTCTGGACTCCTCAGCATCCCACTTCCTACCACAAGGCAGGGATTACCAAATGGGACCCTACTTTGCAGAAGCCTGTGTCAATGGCACTCTTGTTTCTTGCTTCCTATGGGACAGGGGCTGGGGCAGATACTTGTGTGTTTACAGCGGAACTCAGCCTTTCTGACGGGCTGCCCCTGTCCAGCTGCACAAGGCAGGGATGTACGTGGAGTTTCTGAAATCCATTTTATCGGACGTGATGAGCTGTGTTCAGCAAGCAAGGAACCTCTTTGTTACCACTACAATGCTGTCACCTCTGGGGTGGGTTGTGGCAGCAGGGCACAGTGATACAACACACATGTTTAAGGCCAGGAAGAAAAGGAGAAAGCTCAGTGAAGAGTGCAGGAGAGGTATAACCTTGCAAACCAGGGTTTATCTGGTCCTTTAGGGCTAGCACATGGGTGAGAGGAAGAAAAGTATCTTGGATATAGGATGCAAGGGGCAAGAATTCTCATGGGTGAGATCTTTTATTAGACCAATTGTACAATTGGTATGGATATAGGCAAGCTTTCAAGTTATCACAGTACCCTTCCTCCAGCCCTTATGGCAACAACATCACCCCAACATTACCTAAAGATAGAATAAAATTTAGGAGGACCTCTTTCTGTCTTCATTTTCATGGCATGCACTGGGTCAAGGAAAATCTGCTTGCACAAGTAGATGGAGACCAAATGCTTGTAGCTGGAACCTGTGCAGCCCAACCTGTATTTTCATACCACATACCACTGCCCAGTTCTCTGCTGGATTGTAGTGTTAGATACTAGGCCTGTGCGAAGTGGCTAGTATTTGCTTCAGATTCGGTTGGTTTGGGGGCCAGTGATTCAATTCGGTGATTCAGATCACTGTTCCAAATCAGATTGGCCAAATCAGGTTTGGAGATTTGGCTGCTGCTGAATCTCTGAATCAGCCAGGCCCATCCCCCACCCGCTCTCCCAGCTTGGCAATGGCTGCCCCATCCAGCCCAGCTCCCGGTGCTTTGAAAAAAGCACCGGGAGCTGGGCCGGATGGTGCTGTGGAGGGGGGTGGGGGGCAATCCCTGCGGCCTCATGCTGCATGGGGGTCTCTGCACGAACCCCCCAGCCCCCCCATGGCTGCCCCACCTGCCCCAGCTCTGGCCCTTTAAGGGGAGCCCCCCCCTAAATCCCATACTCCCTGGTTTCTGCCTAGCGGGGGGAGATCCATGTAGGGGGCTCTTCCAGGAGTCCCCCAAAGCCCTGAGGCTGCTGTAGGAGCTGGTGAGTTCCTGAGGTTTTTTTTGTTTTTGGTGTTTTCTTAAAGGACTGGAGCTGGGGTGAGTGGGGCAGTCATGGGGGGCTGTTGGGGAGCTATTGCAGAGCTCCCCATGCAGCATGGGGCAGTAGGGGGCAGTGGGGATCACCACCCCCCCCTGCCTGGCAGCACCTGGTGAGTAGGGGCTTTTTTTTTTAAAGGACTGGGAGCTGGGGCAGGCAGGGCAGCCATGCAGGGGTTGGGGGAGCAGGTGGGGGTCGGGGAGCATTCAGGGGGAGCAGGCAGGGGATGGGGCCTGGCAGAGGTCCCCCCATTGTCCCCTCTCCCCTCCCCCAGCCCTTACTTACCAGCTCCCAAGTCCGGCTCTGGCTCCCTGCTGCAGCGGGCAGGGACTGCCCAAATCGTCAAAGCTCTTCAAATCTTTTCCAAAGATTCGGAGTGCTTCAAATCAATTCGGGCCTTTTTATTAGTCCACTGATTCGATTTTGGTGTGGAGATTCGGCCACCAAATCATGCCGAACGTCCTCCGAATCAAATCAGCACCTGAAGCTTTGCACAGCCCTATTAGATACCTCTTGAGGAAGGAGGCATACAGAACTGGAAGTGCCTTCCCCTCCCAGGTATCACAGGAACGCAGCTAAGTAATTGCTCTTGTGGAACTTCTGATATGTCACCTCATAGATTTCATAGACATTTGGGCTGGAAGAGACCCTGGAGGATCATCGAGTCCAGCCCTCTGCCCCAGGGGCAGGAAGTCAGCAGGGGTCATAGGATCCCAGCAAGATAAGCATCCGAATGTGTCTTGAAGGCATTCAAAGTGGGTGCTTGAATTGCCTCTGGTGGCAGTCTATTCCAAAACTTGGGGGCTTGGACAGTAAAGAAGTTCTTTCTTATGTCCAGCCTAAATCGGTCGCGGCGGAGCTTGTGACTGTTCAATCTTGTCATCCCTCGGGGCGCTCTGGTGAACAGACGTTCCCCCAATTCCTGATGAGCACCCCTGATAAACTTATAGGTGGTCACCAGACCACCCCTGAGCCTGCGCTTTTCCAGGCTGAAGAGTCCCATGGCTCCCAGCCTCTCATCATAAGGTCTTTTCCTGACCTCTGATCATGCACGTGGCTCTCCCTCTGCACTTTCTCAAGCTTCTCCACATCCTGTTTGAATTGCAGAGCCCAAAACTGGACACAGTACTCCACCAAGGCTGAGTACAGCAGGAGAATGAAGTCCCGGGATTTACTTGAAAAGCATCTATGGATGCAAGCCAGCATTTTGCTCACTTTACTTGCTGCAGCATCACACTGAAGGCTCATGTTCGTCTTGTGGTCAATCATGACCCCCAAGTCCCTTTCATCTGTAGTGCTAATCAGCGTAGCACCGCTGAGCCTATAAGGATGCTGCAGGTTTTTCTTCCCAAGGTGGAGAACCTTGCATTTTTGGTGTTGAACACCATCAGGTTCTTGTCCGCCCATTTCCTGAGCCTGTCAAGATCCTCCTGGATCACTGTCCTGTCCTGAGGTATGGATGCTTTACCCCAGAGTTTGGTGTCGCTGGCAAACTTGCCCAGCCCACTTCTGACACCAATATCCACATATGGATATGTTAAATAGTATAGGCTCTAGGACAGAGCCTTGAGGGACCCCACTGGTCACAGCGCACCAAGATGATTAGCTCCCATTGACCACCACCTTCTGGGTCCTACCGTGGAGCCAATTCCCCAGCCAGTGGATTGTGGTGACGTCAAGTCTGCAGTTAGCCAGTTTAGCCAAGAGGTGATTGTGGGATACCAGATCAAAGGCTTTTTTAAAGTCAAGATATACAACATCAATCTCTTCCCCCTTGTACAGGTGATAAGTCATCTGGTCATAAAAGGAAGTGAGATTGGTCAGGCAAGACCTACCCGCAACAAACCCATGCTGGTTATCCCTCAGGATATTGCCATCAGCTAGACTGTATAGGATGGTCTCTTTGATAATCTTTTCCAGGACCTTCCCCAGGATAGAGGTCAGGCTGATGGGCCTGTAGTTAGCTGGATCTACTTTCCTCCCTTTCTTGAAGATAGGCACAGCATTGGCCCTCTTCCAATCTTCAGGCACTTCACCAGAGCACCAAGAGCTCTCCAAGATCTGTGCCAGGGGCTGAGCTATGATGCCTGCCAGCTCTTTGAGTACCCTTGGGTGTAACCCATCAGGGCCGGCTGACTTGAAGGTATCCAGCCTGTCAAGGTGTTCCTTCACAAGGTCAGCTTTGATGGAGGGCAGGGAATCTCCCTTACCCGGGCCTCCCTGACCCATAGTAGGCAGGGCCGTCCCATGGGACTGGTGAAAAACTGCCGCAAAGTACCCGTTTAGCAAGTTCGCTTTTTCCTGAGTGTCAGTTGTCCCATCTGGTTTAGCAGGGGTCCAATGTTGCCCTTGCTTTTCCTCCGGCTCCCCACATATCTAAAAAAGGACTTTTTATTTTCCTTGATATTTGTAGGTAGCTGGAGTTCCATCACAGCCTTGGCTGATGACTGGAGCTGGGGAAAAACATAAAAGGGCCAGTAGCTTGTTTCAGTAGTGATGTGTGTCCATATGCATCTTCACTGAGTCCTACAGTAGCCCCAAGGACCATCTGAGGTTGTGGCTTGGGGGAGGCATCTGGGAGGCCTTGTCTTGAACCTGTCTCCTCCTCATGTCATTGCTCCCTTTAGGTTACACCATTTTCAGCTTCTCACCTTCATGCCAACTGATGCTGAGGGAGTGGGCTGTGACCCTACCTCTCTCCTCTTTGGGTTCCTAAGGCTGCTGTCAGCACTGCGGTTCTCAAGTCCTTGTACCTCAGGAGCTGGAAGGGAGTTAGGATTGCAGGGGGGGCTGGGGGGTTACCTACAATCAAACCCATAGCATAGTAGTGAACAATTAGACAGGAGGGCAAAGGTGCCTTCATTGCCTGAAGCACCAAACAATATTCACTGTAAGAGACAAGGCATCTGGGCTTGAGGGACCACAGGCCTGCTCTGCTCTGGGCAGCTTCTGTGCTTATTACATGCCTGATGCCCTGACTTCTCTCTGCAGCTGCATGAGAGTGGCTTAGACAAATTAACCAGAACAAGGAGGTGAATTCCAGGCATTGTACTAACACTCAACCTGAAGCTTAAAGAAGGGCATTTTAGAAGGAAGGATGGGATCTGAAGAAGTAGGGGGAAGTTTATGCTTATCCTTCCATCCCTGAAGGCTGCCTTCATTTCCTTCTCATTGTGCAACTCTCCTCAGCCTTGACAGTCATGATTTCCATAGTCATGTCTCTTCTAGCAAGATGAATGGGAGAGGGGCTCAGTTAGCAGCCCTACCTAAGCTGGGTGGGTGAGGGAAAAGAAAGCACAGTGCAGCTTGGTTTTGGGTTGTTATTTTATCTAATTTTCTTTTTTTTTTTCTTGTTTTAATAATAAGGCTTTAAAAAAATCTGCATGGGTAAATGATGCAGGGAGTGAGTCTCTGCTTTGCATTTCCATAATAATAATACTGGAAAACAGAGCCTAGGCACCTTGCTCTGGAGCCTCAGAAGGGTGCTTCAGCACCAGTTAGCTAGCAGCAGGTCTGGATCACTCCTGGCCTTGTTCTTTGAGCAGAAGGGGTCTCATCTGGTGCCTCTAGACTTGAGGAAGGTTGCCACCAGGACATCATCCTCTTCTGTTCTTGACCCTCTGCATGCCCCTCTATAGGTGTGCAGTGGGGATCAAGTTTTTCTTGGAAAGAATGGGGTTATAGGAGTGAAAAGAGCCACTAACCAATTCCCCTTTGACTCTCCTGTCCATCCCCATCTCTTCTGAGTTTTGTAATAGATCTACAAAGATTGGTATATACTGCAGCAGTGCCTCACTGACAACTCTGGAGGGCAAAGATATCAAACTTTGGGGAAGAGTATCCACTTGAGGATAGGCTGGTAATCCAGGCTGACGCTGATAGACTTGCAAGGTGGGTGGATGAAAACCTGATGGCATTCAACATGGAGAAATGCAAGGTGCTTCACCTTGGGGGAAAAAAACCCCTCATCACACTTATAGGCTCGGCAATACTACACTCGCTAGCACCATGACCAAAAGAGACTTGGGGGTCATGATTGACCACAAGATGAACGTGAGCCACCAATGCGATACCACAGCTGGCAAAGTGAACAAAACTTTGGCTTGCATCTACTGATGCATCTCGAGCGAGACCCAGGATGTCATCCTCCCGCTGTACTCAGCCTTGGTGAGGCCACAGCTGGACTACTGCATCCAATTCTGGGCTCTACAATTCAGGAAGGATGTGGAGAAGCCTGAAAGAGTTCAGGGGAGAGCCACACACATGATCAGAGGGCAAGAGAGCAGGCCTTATGAAGAGAGGCTGCAAGCTATGGGACTCTTCAGCTTGGAGAGGCACAGGCTCAGGGATGATTTGGTGGCAGCCTATAAGTATGTCAGGGGTGTGCATCAGGATCTGGGGGAACACCTGTTCACCAGAGCACACCAAGGGATGGCAAGGTCCAATGGTCACAAACTCCTGGAAGACCGTTTTAGGCTGGACATAAGGAAAAGTTTCTTTACTGTTGGAGCCCCCAAGGCCTGGAACAAACTCCCCCCACAGGTGGTGCAAGCACCTGCTCTGGATACTTTTAAGAAACACTTGGATACTTATGTTGCTGGGATCCTTTGACCCTAACTGACTTCCTGCTCTTGGGCAGGGGCTGGACCTGATGATCTTAGGAGGTCCCTTCCAGCCCTAATGTCTATGAAATCTTTGTATCCCTAGGACAGGTACTGTAGTGGCAGCAGCAGGGCAGGTTTCTCAAGTATCATCTCCCACCCCTGCAAGTGTGCTCATCCTTAATCTGTAGCGGCCATCTCGGGGGTGGCAGGATGGATGTCTTTGTGACCCATTGATGCAACCCTCGCCTGCAATCGTGACATTGCCTGGCAGGCTTCCTGTTTGCTTGAGTCACAATGGTGGCTTGGCTTTGTGATGTGAACATGGGGCCACTAATTATTGGAAATCCCCATAGGCCAAAGAGCCTGTATAAAAAGGTCCTTTAAAAGGAGAAGCTTAAAATAAGATTGACATAAAAAAGACAGACAGTGATGATGCCAGAAATAGGAAATATTTGGGTGCATTTAAAGTGTTGGTGATGGGAGAAATTCTTCAGCTTGGTCAACTATAATGGCAGGCCTGTGTTCCAGTTTAAGATATGCATGCAAGTCATGCAGACATACTCCACCTAAAAGAATAGTGATGGCATCATGGAGCTAAGTAAAACCCATTTGAGAAGATGGGTAAAGACTTGGGCAGTGAGTCTGCACTGAACTCTGTGCTGCTGTGTCTGGACCTCAGCTGATCCCAAGCTGGGTAGTTTAAATAAAAAAGTTCAAGTATGTCTAGACAAGCCATAGTCATGGTTTCATGGCAATAAGGATATGCCCTGTCTTTAGTTCCTTAAAGTTGAAGCATGAGGAGAGCTGCCCAGACTTACTGCATAGATGGAAATGAACACTATTGCCGACTTAACAGGAAAGGAGACAAAGTTTTTTTTAAATTTTTGGTTGTTTTTTTGTTAGGTTCCTTTTTTTGGTTTTTTGTTTTTTACAAATCTAAGAGATTTCACGTGCAGATTTGTGATTGATGGCAAGGTTTGAATGTCTCTTGTTTTCCCATTTTGAAAATTTTATCCACCAGCAGAAATTACTCACATTGCAGATATTTCTGACAGCCTGAAAAATAACATCTGAAAACAGCTGTTTAGACACAATATGCTTTAAACTTTGATGTAGGTAAGTTCTCTGTCACCATGAGTGAGCAAACACTTCTGGTGAGATGAAATAGGTGTAGGTTTTCTTGATACTGGAAAAACCTAGGTTTGTACCCCAGGGTGTGTTGACATCAAGATTAGTCTGTTGAAGCGACGCAGGGTGGCTGCATTCTCACTGGAATGAACTAGGAGGTGAAGGGACCAGGATTAGAGTAATGAGTTTACATGATGGGTCCTGGAGTTGCAATTGCCCTGGAAGTTGTAGGATTTGTAACTCTTGACCACTGCTGCACTTTGACTGCCAGAAATAAACACTGCAGTGTGATGAAATAGCATCTGCTTTTATCAGAAATCATGCCATTACAATTCATGCAAGAGCCTAAGTAGTAATTTAGGACCTAGATTCAAATGTTCCCGTCTGCAAGGTCACTTGTAATGGGTGGAGAGCGAGGCAGCTTCCCTTCACACTCCTGGCCCTTCCTGCTTTTTGTTCTGAGGGCAGGGAGGGTTAGTCTGTGCAAAATGCCAGTGGTGAAATCCTGAAGAGACTAAAGATAGACCTGAATGTGACTTCTGGCTCAGATTAATCTGTTGACTTGTTTGGTTGTGCTTCCAGTGATGCCGGGTGTTGCCTTTGGGCTGCATGTGGAACCGGGAAGGTTTAAACAGTGTTGCCGCTCTGTCTTGCAGATGGCAGGCAGAACACCACCCTCGCAAGGAGACCAAAGAGGAGGGAGCAGAAAGACCAGCCTCACATGGATGTGCGCTACTCTCCCAGAGTACGCAGGGCAACCACATCCAGGGCAGAGAGAATCTGGCCAGGAGGGGTCATCCCTTACATCATTGGAGGAAATTTCACTGGTCAGTTGCAAAGCCATTGCTCATCTCTGTCAGTTGTAGAGAGCTTCTTACAAGGAGCATGCCATCCCTCTACCGGCTTGGGAGTCTTTGGGAAAGGACTTCTCTGGGTTGCCTGCATGGTGAAGTGCCGCACCAAAGAGCCATGCGCTGCAGAAACCTAACCTTGAAGTTCAGGGAGACATTACCCTGTGTCCAAGCAGCCTCTGTGCCTTGCCTACAACTCTGGTTGCATTGTAGGTCAGTCCCTGGGACCTGAGCTTTCTCTTTTGCTGGGGGCTTGTTTATACAAGGTAGGAGTGCTACAGAGGTAGCAGAGGAGGTGGCCAGTTCCTCCTCTTCCCCCCCTCCCAGCCCCCAAAATGCAACCTGAGGTACATCAGTGCCTGGAAATAATATAACAACATAGCTCTTCCTGCCTCCTGGGGGCCAATGTGAAATCCCAGCCTCTGTTCATTACCCGCACTTGGCCCTGTCTAGCAGTCTAGTGCCAGTGCTCAGAGACTTTACCCCTTCCTGTGGGAGACCATGCCAGGCTGATCTCTTGTATGTTGGCAGTATTGCCACTAATATGCAGATGAATTTCATCCTGAAACTTCTCTCATCCTCCCTGCGGCTTCCCTTAACACTCCTGCTTGGGGTACCTGTTCTTCTTGACCAAGCTGTGGTGTTGCACTACTGCACTGCAGCAAGGATACAGTGGAGGGAGTTGCAGAGGCACCATCCCAGCAGGAAATCCAGGAAAGAAGCATTGTGGCAGCAGCGCCTGAGGAAGCTCAGACTATCTCCCCCCAACCTCCCTGCCCAAGCTGGTGCTGCCTGCACTGTCACTGAGGCAGAATCATCTCCCTCCTCCTGTGGAGAGGCTGCTGCCTTGCAGGTGCTCACCCAGTGCAAATCTTGTGTACCAGGCTGCAGTCTGTGCTTTGGTCCTTGCATAAGGCACCTTCTGTATGGTGTGGGGCCAGGCATTGTCTGTACTTATCTCCGTGTCCTTGTAGGGCTAAGCCAGTTACTATGGCACAGCTAACACAGGCACATCCCTGCCTTCTCTTAGCCCATTGTGACTTGTTTGCCCACACCTTCCAGACGTACCTTCATAATCTGTCCCAAGAAATCTCTCCTGTCCAGCTCCTTTATTCTGTTTTCTGTCTTACTTGAAAAACAGTTTTGGCAACAAATTTGCTTTATTCTCTTGGATCCAGGGGAAGTTTTGTGTAAGCCAGGCCTGAAATTCCCTAGTGTAACATCTTTTGTTCTCATGCACCATGTCATACAGTGCCTCACGAATAATGCTACAGAATGGATGCACAGAAACAAGTTGCCAGGTAGCTCTGGTTGTTTGCTTTCTGCCCTTAATGGCTGAAGAAGGAAATATTTACTTGCCCAATTAACACGGTGCATCATACTTGTACTAGTGCTTACTCGCATCTAGTAGTTAATTTAATACAAAAATCATCACGTATAAGAAAACAGAAGCGCAGGTTTTTGCTGTACCAAGCTCTAATGGCTCTAACCCTCAATGGTATTTAGGCTCCTAACTACCTTTGAGGATTGGAGTCTTGTGCTGCTCCATGTCAGGCGCTAAATGTTTGCCCTGTTGTGTTGCTTTTCCAGGCAGTCAGCGAGCTATATTCAAGCAGGCTATGAGGCACTGGGAGAAGCATACGTGTGTGACATTTGTGGAGAGGACGGACGAAGAAAGCTTTATCGTGTTCACATACAGAACATGTGGGTAAGCAATGTGTAGCAGCACACCTAGCAGCTTCCATGCACAGGTCTTATTAGTGTCTTGTAGAAGTTGAATACCATACCCAGTTCATGGGATGTTTTGCCAATTGACTGCAGACCCTCCTTTCTTGAATAACCATCACTGTAACAGATTTTGGGAGTTGTATTTGATTTTAAAAGTACTGAATTTCAGTAGCACCTGCAATTGCAATCAGAGCCCTGATGTGCTAAGGGCTGTGCAGACTTATTGTAAGGTTCTTGAGGCACATACTGTCTTATTACTTGAGTGCGGACAAAGGATGTAGTGCCTCTAATTTACAGAAGGCCAGCTGAGGCATAGAGGGGTTAAGGTTTGAATCCTGTCACAGCTCTATGGAGGTGAATCCCAGGGGACTTGATCCACACCACACGGGAAGTCGGTCGTAGAACTAACTGGGAATAGAGCTGGGACCTCATGGCCAGTGCCTCCAATACCATGTTACAGCCCCTCAACGATGCAGTAAAAACTTTTGTTTCATTTTCCTTATTTGCATTGTTTCCTTTCTGTGCTATGTTCTGACAATGGGAGCTAATGTGAGCCCAGGTCTCAGTTTATAGTTAATTTCTAACTATTTCCACACTCTGGCTCTTAACTGCAACCCATGGTTTTGTTTGGTTAAATGCCACAGCGAAGGTCTCTGTCCCCTACCATTCTCCCCCCCCAGTAATGTTTGTGTTTTTATTAGGCTGTTAATTTATGATAATTTTAAGTGGTTTTTTTTTAAATAGTTTTGAAGGAAAAAAGCCAGAGCCCCAAATCTTAGCAGTGTCTTCTGAACCCTCTTAATCAGTTTTGTTTCTTGTATTTTGTATTGTAAGGATATTGTTAGCTCTGTGTAGCAGCTTAGTCTCTGGGGGATGGACTGAGGCTTCCAGCTTATAAGAGTCTGCAGCATGTGTGAGTGAATGACTGTGTGTGTTAGCAGCTGTTTCTTTTTGTTTTTTGGCTCTAAAAGTATTGCATCATGGAACGGATGTGTCATAAAAGTATTTTGGAAAGGTAAGGAGACGAATGGTTGGGTTCTGGCTTCATCGAAGTCAGAGGTATGCTTGCTGCACATATTAATGTCCCTGAGCTCACTTCAGTCTAGGTAGCACTTGAGGACAGATGGCATGGGCTCGAGAAATCTACCCAGCACCCTGGGTATTTAGGGTCTGAAGCCCATGCCAATGTGAAACCTGAGCTTGTCAGATGAAAACTGACTTGTGTTTGTCTGTGCTCTTCAAGCCCACCTCCAATGTACAGTACAGAACCCCATTTTAGTGGGTGAGAGCTGCATGCATAATGTCCTCTCTTAAATGGGATGTCAGACCTGCTCAAGGTTGGAAGTTGGAGAAATACATGTGTGCTTAAGAGCAACAGCAAGGGGATGGCTCATTAGCTCTTTGCTGCAATGTCTGGTTTTGGATCCCTAGGTGCTGAGTTCTGCTCCCACATGCCACTTACTGCAGTAGGCAACAGAACTCTGTCGGTAAGTGGCTGAAGAATGTTATGCATCTGGAGGAAGTGAAATGTGGAGCCTGATTTACAAGGGCACTGAGACCCCTAAAGATGCAGACTACAGCCTAGTCAAAAGTAAGAGGTCTCAAAGAGCTAAACAGTACATTGGGCTAGTATAGTAAGGCAGACCCATTTCTGCGGCCAGCAACACTCAAGGAAGCAATCGTGTCTCAATGTCTTCGGCTCCCTGCCTAAGGGCATCTATACACGTGCTCCAGGGTAGGGGTGGGGATGGGGCGCTTTAATTAGAGCGGTGCACCTCATGTATCAGTATCCCCAAACTTCCTCTAGCGCATCTTGTGTATTAGTATCCTTGCACTTCAAAATGGTGGTGGGGGCTCTTTGTCTAAAGCTCGTGTGATGAACTTTAGGTAAAACTCCCTCCCTGCTATTTTGAAACTTGGGGATGCTGATACACAAGACAGGGAGGCTGGTTGGAGCATGGTTATTGCCACAGTCCAGCAGACTCAATTAATTGAGTCTGCTCTGACACGCTATAATTATAGCACATCGGAGGAGACGCCGCACTCATGTAGAGGCACCCTGAATGAGCAGTATTTGGCGTAATCTTCAATGCAAATCTGGAGAAGGGATTAAAGTCATGCCACTGGAGCCATAGAAATTCTTACTGGAGTTAAGCACCCAACTCACTTTGGCATTTCTGTAAATGCCACACAGCTCCTGTCTGCACCTTTAGACACCTAGATACTTTTGGAAATTTGATTCATGGTTAAAAATGGACCACTGGTCAACTTGGAAACCTGTCACAATTATGCAGTTTTTCATCTCTACTCATTTCCTGCCTCTACTGCGTTTGATATTTTCAGCATAATTTGGTACAGTCTCTTGGAAGGCAGATTGCCCTTTCTAAATACTCTTGTTGCTCTAATGAACATTGGTTGACCTGTACACAGAGCAGAGGTGAGTCTGGACCAGGACACGTTTCTCAGTGTCCGGAATCTAGATGGATTCCAACTTCCTTATCTTGCTTATTGTGGACTTGAATCTGATCAGGATCTGAACACCTCAAAAGCTAGTAGAGTCTGGATCTGATGTAAATTACATAGGATCCCAAGCAGACATGGCATGCAACTTATCCCAGTGACAGACTATAAGTTATTATTACAGTGCCTTACTATTAGGTGCCAGAAAGCAAATAGTAGCTTGAGTAAATAGCTAACCCTGTAATGTCAGGCAAATATTCTAGACCTGGGGACATGACATACACATTAAAATACAATTACTTTTTTTTCTCATGGGGTAACTTTATGCTGGCGTAGGCCTAGACCGGGGTGGGCAAAATGGTGGATCCAGGCCACAGCTAGATTCCATTTCCCAGCAGCCCCAGTGGCGGCAGCTCATTCTGGTTGCCACTGCTGGACCCAGCCCCACTCCCCAGGCACCCTGAACCATGCTCCCTACTACCACTACCTGGGGCAGCATGCACAAGGGCAAGGCTCATGGCCAGGTGGCTGGGATGGGGCCACAGCTGGGAGCAAGACGGGCAGGCAGGGCCAGGGAAACCCTGGGATCTTGGGGCAGTGACAGCACAGGGCCAGGGCAGAACCACGATGCACTCCCTTGCCCATGAAACCTGCGCCCATCACAGAGGCATGTAGTTAGCGCATTGTGGCTCTGCCAGGCCCTGGCTCTGGCACCGCGCTGTCACCACCCCAAGATCCTGGGGTCTTCCTGGGCCCACCTGCCCATCTTGCTCCTGGCTGTGGCCCCATCCCAGCTGCCCTGCCTGTGTGGAGCCTATCCCTGGTGGTGGATGCAGGGCAGATGGGCCGGGTTGCCTGGGCAGTGGGGCTGGGTCCAGCAGTGGCAGCCAGAAGAAGCCGCCACCTCCAGGGCTGTAGGGAAACAGAGTCCGCCATGGACCCAATCTGGCCCGGGGCCCATATTTTGTCCACCCCTGGCCTAGACAGCGTGTGTCCACTTCACTTCTACACTGGGGTAAATGTCATGAATTTGCCCTGACAGACGCATGCCACTCCAGCCTTGTATTACCTGGTTCCACCCATTCAGGTTCACCAGATCTTAGATTTATTTGTTTGATTTCTTTTCCAGTTGCTGTTCGTATGTGGGCCGCCGAGGCGGAGGTCCTCAGGCCATATCCATCGGCAAGAACTGTGACAAGTTTGGCATTGTGGCACATGAGTTGGGCCATGTGGCTGGGTTCTGGCACGAGCACACACGACCCGACCGGGACCAGCATGTCACAATCATCAGAGAAAATATACAGCAAGGTAAAATAGCTACTGTACCAGGTCCAGATGCTGCTGGGTGGAGACCGCATACCTCACTGTACTTGTAGGAAACTGCCTCTCTGGAAAGCTCCAGTAGGGATCCTCCCTTCCTGCTGAAGGGAAAGAAAAAAGGGCAGTCATTGCCAACAAAGGGGGACAAAGTTATTCAAGTGGTCACAAGCTCAGGTGCCCAACGGCATCTAGCTTTGAGGACATTTTCAGAGGCTTAAATTATGCCTCTTTAAGGTGAGGATCATTGATCCCTTCTGGATACCTCAGCCCCAGATATTTCTAGAATAGAATAATAGCAAATTAATTTTTAGTGTCACTGAGCTGCCTCTTTCCCCTGTTTTGCCAGCATTGGTAGATAAGTTGTGCTTGTGTCTTCCTCAGTACTGAATGAATTTTTAGTTCTAGGCTGGTTTTGTACATGAAGTTTGGAGTTGACTAAGATGGTCATAACTTGCAAGATCTCCAAACTTTCCTCATAATGTGTAGTTAAAGCAACATGACCCCTGCTAAGTTCTAATGCCCCTGCTAAGCTGGTTGACAGTACTGGAGCGTTTCTGGGCCAAAGTAAAAATGAGAAATATGGTCAAATGCATTTCAAAACTGTCATGGAGGGAAGGTTGGGCAGACTGAAACAGGTTCACTTTTCATTTGATCATGCCTGGCCTTTTATGCATCTCAGTGGTATAATGAATTTTACATGAGCCAAGCAAAATGCAACTTGTGAATACTCTGTTGAGCAAGAGAATGCTTTCCCCCCTGTTAACGGAGCCTTGTATCACAGGTCAGGAGTACAACTTCTTAAAGATGGAAGCCGGGGAAGTGAATTCTTTGGGAGAGACCTATGACTTTGACAGCATCATGCACTATGCCAGGAATACATTCTCAAGGTCGGAATCCAAGGTTACATCTCCTTACTACTTTATACAGTGCCTGTGGCTGGTGACCCATTGTACGTAGTGGCAAGAAGGTGATCTGAGAATGTTTTATCTAAACTTGACCCATGTAGTTACTTTAGAAGTGGGATATATTGAACTTCAGAAATCTGTGCCAAAGAGCTCAATAAAATGCTTCCAAAAAACAGAAGGCTCATTTGAAATGCTGTGGGGGAACGTGGGGAACCCCACTGTGTCTGCCACCATGCACAAATCCCCATCTAGAACCTCTAAACAATGTGATGGAGCAATCAGGTTCTTCATAGGTGATTTGAGAACTCTACTCCTTCCCCAGTTCAAGTTACACTGAGCACTCAGGGCTTGTTTAGCACACCACATGAGTAGCAAAAGCCAGACTGTGAATACCTGTAGGAACCAGATTTTAAAATTGCAGTACCGTGCTGCATCCACAGGAAATTTAGAACTGGTGGAGGGGAATGTGCATTGCTGTCATTGGAAGAATAGTGGTTAAAGGTAGATTTGTGGGACCACCTTTAGTTACTTCTGTGACTGCAGTGTAGCAAATTAGCCAACTAGTTTGCGTATGGGTGGCATTGTAGCCCTGGCACCATGGAAATCAGTGCAGGTTGCAGAACCTACCTGAGAAACTGGGTAAACACTCTGGGGCTGTTAGCTCACACTGAACTCTATACTAGTGCAGCTGTGCTGCTGGCAGCACCCAAGCAAGCTGTCAGCCACATTAAACAAGAGAGCAGCAAGTGTCCCTTCATGAGAAGAGTAACGTACGTGCTGATAAGCAAGCCTGCCTCGGTGTACTTCTCCTGTTCCCACTGTTTTTAGCGGCATTATTGGCTCTTCAGTGACCAAGCTGTGCCAAATGCCTCCTTTAATGAAAGCAGACAACCATAGTAAGATAAATATTTACAACTAAAAACCTATCAGTAACCTCTGTTACATTATTGTTAGTATGTGTGTCCAAATACAGCACACTGAACCCTGAGCTCTGTAGGCTTGTGACTGAGTTGTCACTGGAGAATGTTTCTGTTCAGTTCTTGCTTTAGCCCGTTGTTATCTGAGCTGCACAAAATGGGTCAGTTGTTGTATGAGCCAGGAACATTCGCCACCCATGTCATCCCAGCAGGTGGCCTCTCCAGGCAGGGTTGAGGGCAGTGTTGCAGAAGCATTCATCTCTGCAGCTCATTCCATGAATAGAGACACTTTATTCTATGACCTGGCGTCTACAGAATGAGTTAAATGGATTTCAGGCATTTTTAAGTCAGATTCTAAACTCTGGCTGCCCTTCTAGAAATCCCTCCCAGTTCTGCACTCCTTGTAAACTCCTCCATCTCTTTTCTGTCAAGCATATCTACTCTGCAGCCTGCTTAGGAAGTGGATCTCATTTGTGTACATCCTGCATGGAGGGGAGACATTTTCATTGCCCAAAAAACCCACGAGTGTTCATTGTAATCTCTCACTGGTTTTACGGCCGGGCCATAACTGCTGTTTTGCTTACCTGTTTCTGGGCAAGTCAGATCCACTGCAGTTGACAGAGAGAATTAACCAAATATGCTGTCCCATCTCCCTCTCTAGGGATGGCTGGCAGGGAGCACTGTTTACAGCAAGAGATGTCTTTGTACCAGATAACTCACATTAGGCAGAGTTTTTTTCCTTCCCTTAGGGCATCTGTTGAGTCTTTCCAGAGTTCAGTGGAGTCTAAATGGTAGGAATTGTCTTGCACAAAAGCAGGATTAAGTTATTACCTTCATTTATACTGCAGATGCCTTAGAGTCTATGACTGTTAAAATCCACAGCCTTTCAGACTACTGCAAGACCAAAAAGGGATCAAAATTGAAATATTTTTTATAAATATAACTTTGTGTGTAATAGGACTTTTAGCTTCTTCTCTAGAAGTCTTTTGTCTCCCTGATTTATCCACCTGTCACAGGTAATGGTCTTCGCATAATCATTTAATTGAACGCTAAGCACTATTGTATGCAGTGAGTCTGCCCCCACAGGCAAAGGCAGTTCTGGTATGCAAGTTTCACCATCCCATTTGAAGCTTTTGAATGCAATAAAAATGTCAGGACAGAATATGTATCATGTTCTTATCCAGGACATGGAGCTTTGAAGACAGGGCCAATGCAAACAATTGGAAGTGTGGAATTCATCACACCCCATCCCAAGCTAACAACTGTGCAGCACCTGCCTGCTGTAGCCATTAGGGACTGCTCTGACTCAGTAGGTACTGACAGATGTGCAGCTCCCAGCTGTAACTCATGGTGCTTTGCAGGAAGTACCATAAGTTACAGCATTCCCCCGACCCAGACATTGGCTGTTGGGTCTGGGGGGTCGGGGAATTTAGCTTCAGTTCAGAGCAGCTGCGTGTCTGCCTCCACTTTCCCCTTGCCCCACTTCTCCCCCTTCCCAGCTCTGGTGCTGTCTTCAGAATGGTGGGGGGGAGGGAGTGGGGGGAGCTTGGTCTGGAGTTTGCCCAGCCTGCACTGGAGGGTGGGCGGGTGGATTGGAGCCCCCATGAATCTCCTTCCCCGCCTTCTCCCCCTCCCATTCTGAAGAGGAGGCACCCCTGCTCCCAGCACATACTGACAAATATTATTGAAGATGCTCCATGTGGGAGTGCCTCCATCTGAAGCCTCATGTAATGAGGGTTCAGATTGTTGCGTGATTGGGCATTTTTTACATGCTCTGCAGTTGCATACTTTGTGTCACTGCATGGCTGTAGAGCGCTTCAGGGGCCCAATTGCACAACAGGCAGTCACTTTGTCAGCACCAGTTTGACACCTATTTGTGGCTACTGGTGTCACCCCATAGTCTTCCTTGGCTATGAGGGAATTAGTTAACTGCAATTAGGCAGCCTGCATCTGATAGCAAAGTTTCACTATTCCTTAGATGCCTGTAAGTTCCAGGTCACTGGGTAATTGCTATTAATGACTCTACTGCACTCAGATTTGCCTGGCACTTGATGTTTTTCCTTCCAGGTGTTTGGTATGTATTCTTTATCAACTATTTGTTAATGTGCTCCTTATTCATATAGTTGTGTTCTCTGAGGGTAAGGGCACCTTGTATTTCCATACACCTCTGTCACAGCCTTGCCCATCATCCCGTCTGGTCAGATAGTAATCCATTAAGGGGGCCCAACCAGTCGACTGTGCTCTTGCTTGAGCACCCTAGGTCTAGATAAAGCTAGGTTGCTGTTTCTAGCTCCAAGTCCTGTGTAAACGCCATAGCAGAGCCACTTGTCAGCATGTGGGACTCTGTAGTCCAGCTGTCTTGGATCCCCAAACCAGTGCTCCAGGCCCGCTGGTGGTTTATATGTATCCCCTTCCTCCCCTCCTGCCTCCACCCAGTTCTACTTTGTGGGTATTCTTTGAGGCCAAAATGGTAGGCAAGGAATGAATCTTGGCTTAGCAAAGGGATTCTTTGTTCAGAGGTCTGTTTACTCTCAGGAAAGCACTGGATGGTTAATGCTGTTTGTAAAATAAGTCCCAGGATCAACTTACCCCTTTCATGAGTCTGGGATCTGATAAGCATTTCAAGCTAGACAGTCTCCTTCATCCCTGCCTTCTCTTCCCTCTCCAGCCTGGTCTTCTGGCCTGTGGTGGTGGATAGCCACAATGCATGGAGATGTCCCCATCCTCCTCCCCATCTTTAAAATCAATGCTTATCTTTTTCTGCCTGTGACCATCAGGGAACCTCCCTTTTACTAGCATTTGATTAGTTAGTTGAGACGCAATCAACTCTATTACTCTGATGGCTTCTCATCAGCTAGGTTCCAAATCCCTAATACAAAGGATTGCTGTAATCCAAAATGGAGGTTACACTCTGAAATAAGGATAACAACAGCTCTGGTGTGGGAGGAAAGAGGACCCGGGAAACTATAGGCCAGTTAGTCTTACCTCAGTCCTAGGCAAGCTGTTCGAGAAAATAATTCTGGCACACATCCAGGAGGGGCCAGCAGGGGGCTGCATGCTTAGGGGCAACCAACACGGGTTCATCAGTGGCAGGTCCTGTCAGACCAACCTGGTGGCCTTTTACGATCAGATCACCAGATCATTAGATGCAGGGGTAGCAGCGGACATAGTCTTCCTGGACTTCCGGAAGGCTTTTGACACTGTCTCTCACCCCGTTCT